TAAAGCAGGGATTCTCAACTTTTTTTGTCAGGCTAACTTCTTATTCTTATACTTTAGGCTGAAATATTTACTTAAAGTCTCCCTGAGATGTTATAATAATATTTCAACATTAATTACTCACGTTTACAATTCTCTGATGTTGGTTAATGCTTACATTACATGCAGGTAAACAAATATTTCACATTTTTAGTGTTTTATTTTATTGTTTTTATTTTAGTTAATACATTTTTAATGATGTATTTAATTATTTATTTAACAATAAAAATTATATTTTTATTGAATTATTACTTTTAATAAACTTACAAACTCCAGCTAGAGAAACCCTGCCATACGACAACAGTTCATAGTGACCGTGTCCGCTCCAAACAGAATGAAAACATCATTAAAGTGCCATAAAAGCATCATAACAGTAGTCCATCAATCCATTTTTTTTTATTTTATTTTTTTATTTACATGGTCAATGCACATAAACAAGTGTAAATGTGCCAGAGACTATATTTTTCATCCGTAGACCCTTGACAGAATGTTACACAGTCACCCTAAAAACAGAAACAGAGCATCACACATATACACACACACAAAAAAAATAAATAAATAATTCACCAATAAAATGAATGCATATAACTTGTGTTTTATATTACGAGTCATATGATAGCTTTAAATAAAATTAAAGAACTTGCACCAAAGCACTCAGATCTCAAATACAGGTTTGGATTAACAAAACAAGGATGAGTAAATAATGACAAAATATACATTTTTGGATGTTTTGTGTAATGCAATCCAATTCAATTCAATTGTCTAGAATCCCAGTGGTTTAGACGGATTTTTTTCCGCATACTTAAGTATTATCGTTTTGCCGTCAGTTTGAATCATGAGCATTATAATTACAATTGCAAATAATATAATTGCACAAATATATATAATAATATGCTTTGAAGCATAACAAAAATGAAGACATTTGTGGTGTTTGATTAGGGGATGGAGAGATACGCTTTGAGCAGCTTAACATGTTGACCAAATGGATCAGTGAGTTTCAAGCAGTGACCAGGCGAGAAGATGAAATGGTGATGTTTGACGTGCTTTGTGGGGATTTTAACTTCGACAACTGCTCTCCTGGTATGTACCGAACAACACACCACACACGACTACGTCTTGATTAAAGATCAATATTTATGCACAGGAAGTTCAGAAAAAAATGCATTTTCATGTGTCTTTCATATGTTTTTACTAGATGACAGGTTGGAGCAAAGCCATAGTGTGTTTGAGGAATATACAGACCCCTGCAGAGCTGGACCCGGGAAAGAGAAGCCCTGGGTCATCGGTAACACTCTCGTTTGCTTCTTAGGGCCTGTTTACACCTGGTATTGAGATGCGTTTTAGTCGATCGGATCACAAGTAGACGAGAGACACATACCCGTTTACACCTGGTGTTTTAATCCGTCTCTTTTGTCCTCAACCACTTCTGTCGCATTGAGCAACATATATTATATAGGAACAACACACACAGAGACAAAACATTCTTTCGTTTCTGCTCTGACAGTCGCAAGACCCGCTGAACGCTGGGAGTGTGTGTTAGAAATCAGGAACGGTGAGAGAACATTGTGCTTGGGATCTTTTTTCATCTTCAAACCGAACTTGGATCTTCAGCCGACAAAGTTTAAATCCCGTCTGGCTAGAGCGCTTCCCATAATGTTTGTGGATTAGGTCGACGTTTTTTGTGGCTGTTCGAAATCATTCGACCACAGGAGCGTTTAAACTACTAAAACTCATCTTAAAGGTACAAAATGCAGTAAAATATCCCAAAAAAACACTAGGCCAATGTTATATTATTTGTTGAGTTGATTACTTGCAATATCCCAAATGTTTCCAACTATTTGTAAATCGTGAGAAAATTGCGATTTTAACCAAGGAAACGGGGCGTGTGAGCAGGGGTGAGGAGTTGCCAGTCAATGACGTCATATCCGCGTTACCCCCGGTTTTTCGCCAGGTTTGACCTCGTACTGCAATAGTAACCATGGCGACGGACATGGACAACCGGGTAATGCCTGTTATGCGTAGCAGGACGCTCACGCTGTTGTTGTTTTGTTCAAACATTATGGACCATGGCAAGCAGACTGTGAGACAAAAAGAGGACTAAAACGAAGATCAACATCTTTGGAGATGCCGAGAGCTCCACGTCCGCGACTAACTTTAACTTAGAGACGCTCGTGTTGAAGGTTACTTTATTAAACAGGTGAGCAAATGTACATAAAACCAATCAATGTTATATAGTTCAACATGATGAAAAGTTAGAATATGATCTGTATGTTATTTTCTAATGTTAATCTAGTCTCATACAGCCAACAAACAACCTAACTAACAACATTCAACACACACAAATGGTGTTTAGTGTGATAGTGAAACTGTTAGAGCAAGTGAAGCAGCGCTGCGTAACCTCAAGTTTAATTCCTCTAATAAACTGAGTCTGACCTGTGCGAGTAATTCAGCGTGTAGTTCGGTAGAATTAAATGTCCTTATTCCTTTATATCTGCGGGACTCGCGTTGCGCGTGGCGTTGGTAAATTATACGTCTAGCAATCACGCCCTACCAGTCATGTTAAAAACATCAATGTATTCACTCATCCAAAAAAGATCCATCAGCTTGACGACAAGATCCATAATTCTGCTTAATGCTTTGCGTCATCAATATACGCCTTTGTTATTGTAAGAGGTTAGCGACCCCTGGTGGCAAAAAATCCTCCATTTTGTATCTTTAAAACCAGCACATTTGAACACACTTTGTGAAATGAACGTACATTTTGGAGTGTTAAGTTGCTGTTTCGGATGTTCTGTGGTTAAATAAAAACTTAATTTTTTTATTTTTATTCCACTTTAATTTGGATTTTACTATTAGGATGTTGTTTCTTTTCATTCTTTGTTGTATGCAATTGTGTCATATATTTATAGTTTTGCATGAATAATTTAAAAAATGTAAATTATTATGTTTTGTGAAATTCCAAATAGAAATATAAAACTAGTGGTTTTATTTGTAGGAACCCTGCTGGAACAGCCAACACTCTATAAGGAGAACACGAGGACTCCAGACAACCTGCAGCGGTGAGATATATATATAGACTTGAAATATACATATAGGCCTGGTTTCACAGACAGGGCTTAGATTAAGCCAGGATTTGGCATTAGTTTAAAGGACATTTAAGTAGCTTTTATAAATGTGCCCTAGAAAAAAAAAGCATTGGTATGCATCTTGAGACAAAACATATCTTACATTTAAAAAAAAATAAATAAATAAAAAGATATGCCAGTGCAAGTTGCTTTCAGTTAAAACAGCTCAAACAAGCATTTTAGTCTGGGACTAGACTTAAGCCTTGTCTGTGAAACCGGGGGATAAAGTTTGATGAAATGAAGCATAGCATAGAAAAATCTGCATAGTTTGAACAGGTTTTGATTCAGTCAGAGCGTTCTGTAACTAATCAGGCCTTGATCTTCTCTGCAGAACTTTGGAAATTGAAGAACTGCGCAAGGACTATTTATCCCCGCCGGTGCCGGCGGACGGTGTTCCTCTGGTTTATCCTGAGCCGGATCAACCCTGGGTGGGTCGACGGATCGATTACCTTCTGTATCGAGAGAGCTCCGTCGCCAGTCACTGCAAAACGGTGCGTTTCCTGCTAAGAATGACACGTTTGTGCTTCAGTGTTAAATACACTTGCAGTAAAAGTACTGTGTTTTTTTCCCGTGTAGGACGTGGAAGAGTTTACATACGTGACTCAGCTGGCTGGCCTGACGGACCACATTCCTGTGGGCTTTAGACTCTCTGTGTCTCTGGATTCAGAAGAGATCAGCCCGTGTGTGCTTTCTAGTGGACCAGACTGCTGACACTTTAAAATATCTATAAGTAATGAATGCTTTAGAGGAATAGTTCAGCCAAAAAAAAAATATTATTCACCCTCATATGGGTTTGGAAAAACATTGCCTATCATTTTTAAATGCTTGACATGTGGAGAAAACACCAAATATCACTATATGAATCACTGTTTGAACAAAGCAATAGTTCTGACACTCTTGTCACTCTTTGCTATGCATATCCTCTCTGTACAGTGCCAGTAATGTGGATAGATATGACACGCTTAGTTTAAAATCTGTTTTTTTTTTTTTTAATGACACATTTTTTCATGACAACACAGAAATGATATTGGAAATATATTTTAATAAAAAGCTAGATTTTTTTTCATATTATGCCTCTCTTGACACTTTTTCTGAGGTGTTTTTTTGCAGTTCTCTCTGAAAAGAGGTGTTATTGTGTATTATGAGCATATCAGTTTTCTGAGAATTGAGATCTAATTTAGATCAATCCTGTTGTTTTGAATTTCAGAAAATGCCAGGCCAAGAGAATTCAAACCAAATGCTTTATTTTCTTCTCAGAAATACATTTACATGAGCTACTTTTATTTACATTTGAAAAAATATATACCTTGAAATGCAATGCAAGTCACTTTGGATAAAAGCTTTTTGCCAAATGCAAATTTGGTTTAAATACCATAGTATTTAAATGTTATTGTGTAATAGTATATATCAAAGCACCACAATATTATCATCTGCTAGTATCCATGTACCTGTACTTTCTTGTAAAAACATGTTTGAAAAGTTATTATTATTATTTAGAATTTACAAATATATGCACACTCACAAACTGCACACTTTTTGCTGTAATGCATAGAACTATGGAATCGCGTTTCTGCCAATTTTAATTTTGACATTAAAAGTGATCATTTTCTGTCAAATTGATCGCATCTAACGTAAAAGTTTGTGGTTGAAATATGTCGTGTTCGATTTGACAGAACTACTTTTTTGTAATAATTATGAGGTAAAAAATTAGCCTACGTATAACGAGATTACACACATAAAACGGTGTTAAATAAAATATCAACATACTGTGCGTTATTAAAAAAGTTTTTGTTTTGTTTTGGTTTGACTTTTATTTTGAAACAACTTCTGCATGGTGTACCAGTGGCGTGAAATCTGGCTTCACTTTCACAATGGCGGCGTCGGAAGAGGCGACGTATTTCGTTGTAAACAACATTCCTGGCCGGCTCCGATCCGCAGACCTGAGGAACTATTTCAGCCAGTTTATAGAAAGTAAAGGATTCGTGTGTTTCCATTATCGCCATCGTCCGGAGGTTCGTGTGCAGTTTCCTGCGGCAGAAGCAGGAGTCAGCGAGCGGACGGAGGGTTCCGACGGTCCTGGTGGGAAACACCCGGGTTTGTGTTGTTGTGTGGTATCTGTTCGCTCAAAGGAATCCGACAGATTCATGAAGATGTATTCAGGGAACCAGTGGATCGACTCTCAAGGAAACTACCTGCGGAGAAAATGTTTGATTCGGAGAGTTAAAGTGTCAGAGCAGGCCGGTGAGTGACCTTTCAAAATAAAAGTTCCACCATATTAATACGATGTTTTGGATTGTTCAACCAGTGTTCAAATGGCCCTAACACACACAAATTATAAAATACACTTTTTTTATAATTTAAGATTTATCATTTAATGTTTGTAATTAAATGTGAAATAAATTAAAAATTTCATAAATTAAGATTAATCATTGTATATTTATTTATTTTTTTAAATGAAAAATGTTAAATAATGTAAATATATTTTTTCATAAATTAAGATTTATTTTTTTATCTTTACATTTATAATTTATTATGATTAAAATAATATATATAAATGTCATTTTTCTTTTCATATTTACATTTAAAAAATATTTTTCATCATCAGTTAATTGCTATGCTGTTTACAACATTTGTGTTTTTTTAAGAATTAAAATAAATACAAATATTTTTGTAATATAAAACGTTTTTAATTTTCTTTGTTTTAATTCTATGTAGGCTCTAGGTTTTATTTGTGGTAAATATGAGACTTAATGAACATGTGAGATAAAAAAAAACTAACTTTTTTGTGAAGTTGTTTAAGGGTGAACATGAACCGTCTGATGATGTTAAATTGCAAAGGGAAAATGGGAATTATTGTCAAGTGTCACACAGTTTGAAATGTCTTTTACAATCTATCTAAACTGCCTACAGTGCTCAATGTAATAGCCATCTGATTGTTGCATGAGCAGATAATCAAATTGATCTCTCTTTGTTCTAGATCATAATTCATTCCCCTACAAGACAAAGATTGAGATGAGACGCCACCTTGCCCAGTCAGAGCATTTCACCATGACTGACCTCAAGGGCCTTCCGGAGCTCAATCCGCCCTCCCTCATGCCATCGGGGAACGTCGGGACACCTGTGACTGTTTTCCTTCAGCTCATTCAGTCCTGTCGTCTGCCGCCGCGCCTCATCCGCAAGCTGGGTCTCACTTTTCCCAAGACGGGCTCGAATCGGCGCTACGGCAACGTGCCATACATGTATTACAACAGCACAGTCGTGAGGTCCTCAGAGGAGAGCGTGTTCACTGCGGGAGGAGTGGAGATCTCGGGCCCTGGGGGCCTGGACACGCCCACAACCACACAAACAGTAGATGAGGACACGCCCACTTTACCTGTCAATCAAGAGTCACAGGAAGCAGAAAGTGAAGAGGAGCTGTCAGGCCCTGATGATGTGAGTTAGGGCTGGCCGAAAATTAAATAAATATATCCTTTTTAATTTTATGTGGATACACACACACACACACACATAATGTTTGAAAATTAAGAAATAAAGACTAAATATTAGTATTGTAATTTTTACAGTTGAACTATAAAAAAAGTTTTTTTTATTAAATACGCTACTTTATTTTACAGTACAATGGTATTATGATGAAAATACATTTCTTATTTTGTTTAATATTTTTATTTAATAATAGTAATAGTCACAATAATATCTTAATAGTCATACTATCTTTTATAGTCATATTGAATGGGTCAAAACCAGATATTTTTAAGATATTTTTTAAACCTTTTTGACTACTGAAAGATGGTTCTTGTAAAGAGTAAACTATTTTTGTTATTGCAGAAAAACAAAATATTGCATTGTTGGTTTTTTACAACATCGTACCGCCCCAATGCGAGTTATTTACAGGGATTTTGCCGATAAATGTTTTTGCGGCTAGATGAATAATATTAAGTCAAAAATCTGCATGTTGAATGTGTGCTCTGCGCAGGACGATGACCGCTGTGAGGAGTGGGAGCGTCACGAGGCCCTCCACGATGATGTCACCAGCCAGGAGCGCTCCAAAGAGAGGCTCTATGAGGAGGAGATCGAGCTCAAGTGGGAGAAGGGCGGATCCGGCCTCGTCTTCTACACAGACGCTCAGTTCTGGCAAGAGGAAGAAGGAGGTACCATTGGCAAACAGTTGTGCTTGATGAAATTTCCAGCTCGAGTTCTAATAAAATAGCTGAGTATGTCCAGTCTATTATAATCTTAACATTAAGAGATGCGCTGCGTCTGGAGCTGTATGAGTTCATATTGAAAGAATAAATTGAGGAGCCCTGTTGATCCACTAGATCAGATTTGAACTTGCCCTGAAAAAAACTTCATTGACCCCGAAAAAATAAAATAAATGTTATGTAAACCAAAAGAAAAAAATATAGTTTATATATTTATATTGTATAATTTTCTTCATATATATATATATATATATATATATATATATATATATATTAGGGCTGTGCAAAAATTAATTGTGAATAATCGCATCCAAAATAAAAGTCTGTGTTTACATAATATATGTGTGTGTGCTGTATATAATTATTTTTTTATATATAAATACCTATGCATGCATGTATATATTTAAGAATTATTTGTGCTTAAATTCTGTGTATATATATATATAAATACATAATCTATATTATATAAATATTTTATATATGAATAACACATTTTCTTAAATATATACATGCATGTGTGTATATTTATATATACAAAATAATTATATACAACACACACAAATATATTATGTAAACACAAACTTTTATTTTGGATGCGATTAATCGCAATTAATTTTTGCACAGCCCTAATATATATGTATATAATAAATACATCCATGAGTTAAGCACTGTGTTTATTTACACACATGCAACTCGTAATACAGTATTTCAGCATCTCAGAATGGTTCTATATGTTTTATATGCATTTGCTGGCAATCCGCCAAAATAAAAGCTTAATGGTTTGATAAATGAAGAAAGAAAGACTAAATATTAGTATTGTAATTATTACAGTTGTGTTATTAAATAATTAGAAAAAAATATGTAATTTATTTTCCATAAATGTAGATTTTATATTTGCATTTGTTTTTTAATAATGAAAAAATAAAAGATTTTTCTTTCATAAATTAAGATTTATCATTTTAAATTTGCATTTATCATGATGTATACAATATAATCAAAAATAAAATAATGTACATTAGGTAAATAATAGTACAATACAGGAAACTCATAACCAATTGTATTTGTTTTTTGGTTTTTTTCAACGATCAAGTTGTTGTTTTTTCTGCAATGTAATTATTCATCATGTTGTATTTATTTGCGCTTTGTCCAATCAGGTTGCAGCATTGTGATAGTGACTTTTGCTGAAAACACTTTTGCTTAAACATTATGACCGGATTTTTTCATTTTCAACCTATTCTTACTGATTCTACCAACCAAGACTATCACAAGTTATTCTAGCATTTTTGATCTGCGTTAGTGAAATAGTTAAACCAAGCTGACAGGTTTAATAAGGCCATCCTTATTGTATAGGAACAGATGCTCGATGTGCATCATTATTATCAGCACACATGCTTTATTCAGTCTTATGTTGCTCATCTCTCCCCTTTGATTTCTCACAGATTTCGATGAGCAAACAGCAGACGACTGGGACGTGGATATGAGCGTCTATTATGACCGAGGTAAATCTTCATGATTCCATAATTACGGCTGCTTTGATTTAAGCCCGACACAATTACAGACTGACAACACCTGAGTCCTGTTTACATGACATCAAACAACACAATGAATTACTGTGATTGTGTCTCCTCAGACGGCGGAGACATGGACTCCAGAGATTATGTGCGCATGCGCTCTGAAACGAGACTCCGGGAGGGTCTGGACGGGCTGCCGGGACGCCAACAGAAAATTGGCAACTTTGAGAGGTTTACAAAGGTTTGGATGTTTTTTATAATCCACCGCTCAATAACTCACAAGTGTAGACTAGGGATAGTTCTTCACTTACCAATTTCAATGTTAAACAGCATACTTTTGTACCGTTAGTCGCACTGTAAAGGGTTAGTTCACCCAAAAATGAAAATGATGTCATTAATGACTCACCTCATGTCGTCCCAAGCCTGTAAGACCTCCGTTCATCTTCAGAAAACAGTTTATTTACACAGATATTTTAGATTTACGCTGAGATCTTTCTGTCCCTCCATTGGAAATGTATGTACGGTATACTGTCCTTGTCCAGAAAGGAAATAAAGACATCATCAAAGTAGTCCATGTGACATCAGTGGGTTAGTTAGAGTGTTTTGAAGCATCGAAAATACATTTTGGTCCAAAAATAACAAAAACTACGACTTTATTCAGTATTGTATTGTCTTCCGGTTCTGGATCCGTGTTCAGTGACGGAAGACGCGGCTGACGTGTGTCTGGTGCGGCTGAGCTTCGGTTACAGTCTGAGGGAGACCCACGCTGTACAAAACAATCTACACAAACATGTCTAAGGATTTCCACAGAGGAAGACTTGCATATTTTTTGCCCAGCCATATTTATTTGAACCCGAATACACGTCAGCAGCTTCTTACGTCAGCAACGTCTCACTGAACGCGGATCCAATACAATGCTGAATAAAGTCGTAGTTTTTGATATTTTTGGACCAAAATGTATTTTTTATGCTTCAAAACATTGTAACTAACCCACTGATGTGGTTTCGGACAAGGACAGTATACCGTACATACATTTTCAATGGAGGGACAGAAAGCTCTCGGACTAAATCTAAAATATACAGAGGTCTTATGAGCTTGAAAAGTCAGGGTGAGTCATTAATGACATTTTTAAAGGACCTGTGCTTAAAAGCTGTTGTGTGTTGCAGGGATTCGGCAGGCGTGTGATGGAGAAACAGGGCTGGAAGGATGGAGAAAGTCTCGGGAGCAGTCAGGTGGGAATAACCGATGCTTTAGAGAGCGAAGGACAGCATCCCAACTGTAAGAGAGGCTTTGGGTGAGTGTGGACACGTGATATCCTCCTATTATTCTGAATTCAGAATTTCTACATCTTTACTGATTTTTATGAAGTAAACAGAAGAATAACTTTATTTGATCTGAGTAGATTTGTCTGGTAAATTTACAATGAAATAACCCCCCAAGAAAGCTGAGGCTTATGTTTGCCTACCCTATTTAAACATATACAGTACCTGAAGAATCAGCATTATAAATTATACAAAAACAGTATATGTAATTGCTAATAATTTTTTTTTACATAATATTAACAAAATTTACATACTAACTGAATAATCATTAACAATTTTCTTTTTTAAAGACCTTTTGAAGCTAAACAGAAGAACAGATCAGCATGATAAATTATAAAAAACAGTGTACATAATTATATAATAATACTGCACATGCATTTTTTTTACATAATATTAACAAAATTTACATACTAACTGAATACTCATTAACAATTTTCTTTTTTTTAAGATCTTTTAAAGCTAGACAGAGAAGTACATAACCTCTATATTGTTAGTAATATTTCAAGATGAACACTTATTGAAGCAACGTTGGTTTACTTGATATTCCATGTTAGTAATTTTATACAAATGCAAGTATCAAAATATGATTTTTTGAGGAATGTTTCTCTCAATCATCATTGTATTGCATTATATGTTTTGAAACTTCAGAGCTTTGATCATAAAACTAAGCATTTAAATAACATCTTTCTGAGAGACATTATCGGCAGATAATAATGACTGATATTTTTATTCCTTTTTATGTTAGTAGTCCATCATAAAGATCTCATTGATTTACAATACAAGCTATCAGAATTTAATCTTTTTGCATATTTTGTGCTTAGTTTGGATCTTTTAATAAATTGGTGTTTTCCCCCTCTCCAGATTCTCACTCTATCATACTACATGAGCCATAAAATCCTGATGTATCCGAACTTGATAAAAGTCATAGAAAATGTATTGGTCAAAAGGTGTTTGATGTCTGTAAATTACTTATTTTTAGCCACATTAGTAATATTTCCTTTTGATGAGTTCAACTCTACATTTTTTGACTTACAGGAGACAACATTTAGGCTAGACTGATCGATTATGACTAATGATTTAATTTCATATGTCTTGCAGATACCATGGAGAGAAGCTCAGCTCATTCCTTCCACTTAAGAAACCCAGAAAAGAATTTCATATATCAACAATTTATGATAAACCTAAAGACATTGATAAGGGTGATGAACTCCTGCGGCGTCAACCAAGCACCAGCATGAAGCACAAACTCTGGCGGCCAGCGGGCAGCACTCACTCCACCAGATGACTGCTGTTTTATAGTGATATCCACTAACATTTTATAAAGACTGGGTATTTATTGTCTGTCAAAGTTTGTTCTTATACAGAGCTGTAAATATTTTTTTTTTGTAATTTCTGTATTAAAAGTGTTCAAAGGAAAGAAACATACTTTGGTTTTGTCTGAATATTCTTTACACTGTTATGATGTGAATGTGCAGTTGTCGACTTCATCATTATCATTATTACATAGATGCAATTCAATGAACAAATGTTAAATTTTTTTTACAGAAATTACCTTCTAAAGTTTTGACAATCTAAGAAAATGTATAAAAAATCATTAATGCAATGTCATATTTTATTTTTAAAAATTCTATATCTATTTTGAAAAAACTTTAGCTTTCAAACCATGTAAACATACACACTCAAAATGACTAATCTATATAATATTATACTATATAAAATATAAAAATATTATACTAATCTGGTAGCAAACAAAATTCTATCTCTGAATAGGTTGAGAAAAACATTTCCAATTGACTTTAATGAGGTTTATTCTCATGCGAGAAAAGGCCAGCAGTCGTACAGTCATTCAGAGTGCCTGGAGAGTGTGACTTCCTCTTTTATAGTCTTGACTCCCAGAATATTATTTTTTCTAGACCAATTGATGGTATTTTCAACCATAAATGGAACATTCTCAAACTTATTCATTATATTTTGCCCTTGAGTGGAGGCCCTCCTGTCATGTACCAACGCTCTTTACCATTCCAATACAATTCCATATTAGAATGAAGTTTAAGGTTTGCTCTTTTACTGTCATATAATAGTCACACACATCGTAAAGAAATAATTTCTTCCAAATTACATTGAGACTTTTATTTCAAAATGGGACTTTTATCTGTCCCCCAGAGGTCATTTCCTGTTGGTGTTCGCTGACTGTCGCTGGATTCCCGCTGCTGTATTGACACGTCACGAAGGTCAGGAACAAACTGATGGAAAAATGGCGTCCACCTACAACACCTTCAATCTGTGAGTATTAATTCATTACTCTGATACTCTGATTCATAACTTATTATCGATTAGATTAATCGAAGAGAGCTCATTGGCAATCTTTGATCTGGCGAAGTCTATAAATAGTGTTTAGGAAGCAACAGTGACTTGCATGTTCAGTGAACTACAAGCGCCCTGTCTGTGGCTGTGACTCAAAACCTAAATGAGCTGCCCTACCTAACTGTTACCTAGACAACATTTCTGGGCAGCGCTTTAGTGAAGTGCTTTTCTATACAGCTTGTAAAGACAATTTTATTCCCCTAAATGTTAGTATGTTGATAGGTGGTGGTGTTTTGAGACAGTTTGTGCTGCTAGTCATCAATCATGGAGTTCAGATTCCAGTCAGTTCACATCAAAAATCAATTTAGTTGATTTTTCGGCAGTGGATTGCTTGAACCTCTTTGCAATTCAGCTACCTAATGTTGTCGTTGCTGGTGTTGTTGATAATGCAGATGCCTACATCTTACAGAACTGAAAATATAAACCATATCAAGAAATAAGTCCAAGCAGCATACTTTGAAAGAAATTGTAGAATATAATGTGATTGATAATTTCAGTGGCACATATGAATGTAATGCAGACATGATAAGTGAGTGTTATGCCCTCGCCCTGTTCATTAAACTGGATTTTTCTACTTTAACTACATATAATCTTCACTCTCCGCTCCTTTCACAGGCACACAACCCCTGAGAAGTTCTACATCGAAGCCTGTGATGATGGTGTCGGAGACGTCCTCGCCATTGACAGGGTGTCCACAGAAATGACCCTTACAGGTACAAAAGAGAACTGGACGCTTGAATTGCAAATGTCTGTCTGTATCTGTACACACTGAAGGCTTTTTCTGCTGAAGTGGTGCTGAAAAGTAACTTGCCTCATTTTATGTGGGTGCTTATTGCATAAATGCTTTGAGTTGAACACTCTTTTGAGGTCGCGGAAGTGTTTGAATGAATAATGTGTTTCCTGATTCATTCCTTAGTTAAACATCAGCAGTATTTTCAACCCAAATTAGGACGCAAACAAAAAGTTATATTTGGAAAATGGTTATAGAGGTAGATCGCAATACATTCTGCAGGGGTTGTCGATAGTTTACGGTTAAATATCTAACATTATCTGATAAGTACTCAGAATAGTGTTATTAAAAGAATATATCATTTGAAATATATCATATCATTGTTTTATACACTGCCCGGCCAAAACAAAAGAAAGAAAAGTCACTGTCTGGATTTAAATAGACAAATGCTTAAGAGTCTATTATTGGATCATTATTGTAGTGATTATTCATTTCTAGCATGTTATATGTTTGACGACGGTTCTTCGTCCGACTATTACTGTACTTCATTTTAATTTTTATTCTAAATTGTTTTAATTATTTACTGTATTTTATTTTTATTATGATTTTTTTTTATTCTAAACTGTTTTAATTATTCTGATTTCTTTTGATTATTTTAATTTCTTCCATGTAAAGCACTTTGAATTGCCACTGTGTATGAAATGTGCTATATAAATAAACTTGCCTTGCCTTCTAACACTAATTGATGGAGGTTGTAGCTTTATAGTCTTAAACCAGACACATCATGGCCATATTCCAGGATGACAATGTCAAGATTCATCAGACTCAGATTATGAAAGAATGATGGGAGGGTTATGAAGAATCACTTTCACTCATGAATCGTCTCCTTAGTCCTCTAAATTCTAGACCTTAAATTCATTGAACGTCTTTGTGATGTGCTGGAGGAGACTATACAGAGGCTGGACTCTTGCATTGATGCATGTTTTGATGGAAATAACTTAATTCCTCAATTATCAATTTGAGGTCAATGCATCTTGACATCCTGGAATATGGCCATGATGTATCTTTATAAATGCTTGTTTAAGAAATGAAAAGCTACACACTCCAATCAATTTAATAATATAATTATATTTTTCCTATAAAATAATTAGATATTATAATAATCGGTCTCTCTTTCAGTAAGGAAGGACGTCCCTCCTTCAGCGGTGACTCGACCAATATGTGGCATCATGGGGACCATACGGCTGGTGGCAGGTACGATCTCTGAAAATGAATTGTGAGTCATAAATGGCTCAACCTGTTGTTGCTCTAATGCCGTTTGCCCTTCTTTCTTTAATGGACCACTAAAGGAGATTTATGCTATGCAGAAATATGCTAATATTTGCTTTTGGCTTGCTTAGTCTGGGTTATTTATTTATTATTTAATATTAACAATATTATTGATCTGTGTTGTACTACTTTCATGTTATCACTGTGAAGCTGCTTTGATACAATCTGTATTGTGAAAACGCTATATAAATAAATGTGACTTGACTTAATACGGGACAGTCTGTCAGTGGTCATGACATCATATTGTTCAAAAAATCTAAAACTGATTGATTATTGAAAGTGTTCAGGCTTTTTGACTATTAAAAAAATGTTTTTTTCACTGTATGGTGGTTGTCTCCCCACACTGCAAAGACAAACACCATATACAAGTGAATTTTTATATCCGATGACGCCTTTAAAATATATTGCTTCATTAATGTTAGCTAGTGCATGTACTAATGTGAAGAAATGTGCACCTTAACTCTCATTCTGCATTCTGAGTGATGCTGAGTCCTGCTCTCTCTGTTTTTTCAGGCATGTATCTCATCGTTATTACGAAGAAGAAGAAAGTGGGTGACCTGTTTGGCCACGCGATCTGGAAAGCGGCTGACTTTGACATCATTTCATACAAGAAGACTGTTCTGCATCTGACTGATAGTCAGGTTAGGTCGCTTTCCAAAAGCATGCGTAGAACTCTCTCCCATCATTGGTGTCTCCACAGGGAGTTATTATTTTGACTAGATTTTTGCCCACAATATTTTTTTTTAATTAAGAAAAGCATCTCAAGCATCAGATTGTTACATAATTAAATAAAAGGGGAAAAAATAGAAAAATTAACAAGCATAATAAATTCTCAAATGCAGATGAACATATAATCACAGTAACATATGCATACATATAAACAACAAAGTAATAGGGAAAAAAAAGAGAGAATTTAAAAAAAAAGGGTTTATCCAAAGCTCATCTTCTTAAAATAATCTAAAAATGGGCTCCAAGATTTCAAGAAAAGATCGTGTTTCATTCTAACTCCAAATTTAATCTTTTCTTTTGCCCACAATATTTAAGGGTCTTTTGAGCATCTCCTTATTTAAACAGAACCAAACCATGATCTTGAACCATTGAATTCTTCAAAATTCTTCAATACTTTAGCTGCCTTTGTCAAGAGAAGTTATCCAGGTCACATTTTTCCCCAACAATAAAAAAAAAAAAAACCAATAATATTATATTAATATAATGCATAATGTGTTGTGTTCTTTAAACAGGCTTCTTTTTACTTAAGCAAAATAATATTTGAATGATTTTAGGGCTATGTGTGCGACAGTTTTTGTGAGATTCACTCTTTTATAGTTTGGTGTGTCATATTAAAAATCAACCAAAATTCACTAGAGAAACAATGTGACATTGACATTTTCTGTAAGTCACACTCTTAACATGTTCATTGACTACTAATAGCAGGGCTTGAATGACCTTTTTTGCTAACCAGCCACTGTGGCTAGTGGTTTTACAAAGTTACTTGCCATTCAGTATTTTCACTGGCCACAATTTTGACATTGAGACAATGTGGGAAAACTGCCATATAGATATTTTTAAAATGATCTCATAATTTCGCAGCAGGTGTATTAGGCTGCTGTCACTTTAATTATTCTATTACACATGCATTTTCTTTCTCAGCTGTTTACGTTCATTTAAAACATAACTCACTGTGTTTACATGAATAGTCGCCAAGAATGGCATTTTGACATTATTTTGTGTTTTTAAGCACAATAAACAGCAGAAAATAACCCAATTTATTACTGAGGGGCCTTTATGTGCGTGCCAGCAGAAATTGCTTTCTCAAAACATTCCCTAAATGCAGCCTGACTTAGAAACTTATCGAAACTAATAATGTTTCTATGGATCTTCCAGATGCAAGACGACAAAGCCTTCCTGTCCATGATCAACAGCGTCCTGAATACAGACGGTTTCTACTTTGCCACGGACTACGACCTGACGCACACACTACAGCGCCTGGCCAACACCAGCCCAGAGTTTCAGGAGATGACCTTACTGGAGCGGGTGAGAGAGATGCTCAGTTTACATGCGTTCAGCAGACACTTTAATCTAAGGTGGCATACAAATGAGGAATACAACAAACAATTCATTTTAAAGGGAACCTTTTTCAAAGTCTTGATTTTGTTTTTGGGGTCTACTACAATAGGTTTTTATGCTTCTAAAGGTTCAATAAACATTATTGTTTTCATATTTTATATTGTTGCAGCACCTCTCTCCCTAGTCTGTCAGTTTAGTTCCTGTCTCTATGAAGTTTTTTGCAGGATGTTGTTTAGTTATGAACATATCTATCATGTAACATGACAATTCTGTAATGCTCATTGCTTAACCCCTTTTTGAGAATAGGGGTTAAAATGCACTATTCAAACTTAAATGGTTTTAATTCAAGAATGCTTTGTAATGTATACCTAAGTTTGGTCTTTGTGAAGATTATTGCTGAAGTGAAAACAAATGAAAGTATGAAAAATTTATGGAAGTTTAAATTTACAGTAAATCAAATGTACTGTACTATATATTTTATTTTATATAAATATATATATTTTACAATTTTTTTTTTTATTATTATTTACAAAAGATTTTTTGAGGTACACTCTTGTCATAAATTCATCAATTACTCTTCCTACATAATTTGTAACACACAAAAAACAGGGGTAGACTATTTAGACCTTTCCAACGATAAATAATTTGTCATAATTAGATTAGGATTTAATAAAAAATATAGTGAAGTAAAGTTAGGCGTCCCGGTAACGTAAGCAGTAGGTCTTATCATGATGTGTTTATATGGTAACACTTTAAAATATGGTTCAATTAGTTAACGTAGGATAATCCATCAACTAACAATAAATAAGAATGAGCATTTGTTACAGATTTTATTTACATTTTAATTAAACTAAAAATACAACTGATCATTGTTCATGTTAGCTCAATTACATTAAATATTATTAACAGATACAACTTTTTAATTATGTGTTAGCATATGTTAAAATTAATCTTACATTTCATTGTTAGTTCATGTTAACAAATGGAACATTATAGTAAAGTGTTACTGTTTTTATTTGACCTTTAGAATTTGGTGCTTTCATGAGGTATGACAGATGAAACTGTTATTACAGCCTCTTAAAATTGTTTTCTACAGGCGGATCAGAGATTTGTGTGGAACGGTCACCTTCTCAGAGAATTCATGGCACAGCCTGAGGTAAACGCAAGATTGTTTTAGGTCGAGCTACTATTTTAAGAGTAACTCATTTAGACGTTGTGCAGAATTCTGCAAGGAGCACCACGTGTCTCTGGGCCTGATTATATGTAGAACAATCTTTATCTAAAGATGGAATGAATTCATGAATGTTTCCTGGTTCTTTTTGACCTTGTGTTCTCTCTTACAGCTACACAAATTCGTCTACCCGGTTGTTCACGGCTGTATCCTTCAACCAGACAAACATTTGTCATCTGACACATTTCATTCTGTGAAATAGAAGTGTGTGTGTTCACATTCAGACAGCTATATAGTCCTTAATCTCCGCTCACAGTCATCACTATGAAGTCGTGTTGCATCAACGGCAAAGTCTTTGACTGGATCATCATTTCCAGGAGGAGCTGCTTCCGCGCTGGCGTCCGCTATTACGTCAGAGGTGCGCTTTGAGTTTACTTACGCTTTTAGTTTATATGCTACTAAATGCTAGCCTGGCTTACGCCAGACCACATATCATTGAGAATGGATACCACATGTTCATTTTCTCGTATTTGAGGCGTGGTTTATAAATGCCCAGAGCCGTATTATTGGGTGCTATCAAATGCGCCTGTATGTAGCTCATAGCCAATCGGTTCAATGATACCAGATGACATATGTAGAGCGACAGAAAATTAGACGAGGAAGAAGACAATGGGTTGGAGATTTATGTATTCACAAAGGCTGCATCAAAAGGTAACTTCACGTCCGCTTGCCAAGATGGATCCATAGATATAAACAAACTGCTTAGTTGTGTCGCATATACACGTCGTCGTCGTCTTGCTGCTCCCTTCCCGTTCTGTGATTGGTTGCCTATCTCAGACGAAAATTTGGTTCATGGTGTCCAGGCTGCCTAGCAGCGTGAATAAAATCGTGCTGTGGCAAGGAAAACCAAACTTAAACAGGCTAACTAAATGCTGTCTTCTCTTCCTCTTCCAGGTATCGACTCTGAGGGTCACGCGGCCAACTTTGTTGAGACAGAACAGATTGTTCAATATAATGGAGGAAAAGCATCATTTGTTCAGGTAAGCATCCAGATTTTCTTGAGGAATCATCCAGTGTAGTTTCAGTGGTTAGTCTGAGCTCTTAACATTGTAGTGAATCTACATGGTATATTAAACGGTTTTATTTCAAATTGAATGAAGCCGTTATCTTATTGGCATCTCTCCTAAATGTCTTGTCTGTCGGCTTGATTCTCAAGGGTACAAAGACAAACAGCATCTGAGATGAATGTGACAGTGGTTTGATGAATCATGAACCACAGATATCAAATTAATATGCGCTTGTTATTGATCTGTGAATCCATGCAGCCTTTTAATGTCACGACCCTGATGTTTGCTTTTCCCACAGTCGGGAGAGGAAACATACCGGAATGTTGCTTTAGTATTTTTCTTGAATTTGTCTCCAATCTGAATGCTGGTTGCTAGTTGTCAATGTCATTTAATGCGCAAGAATCCCAACATTTCTTATAAGACAAAGTTGTGCTTTCTTTAGATATCTGTTAACGAATGAACGAATAATCCTCTGTTGTCTTTGTCCACAGACTCGAGGCTCCATCCCGTTCTACTGGTCTCAGAGACCGAACCTCAAGTACAAACCAAAACCACAGATCAGCAAAAGCATCAATCACGTGAGATGCTTTTTTTATTTTTATTTCTTTTAGTTTGAGTCAGTGGAAATAAAGATGTTCATGCTTTTAAAAATGTATTAGTAAATGTTGCAATTAGTTATAACTGAGAGATTAATATATGCTTAAATATATTCAATTTTGTTTATTGTTAGTTAATTTAAACTAATGTGGTGACAAGTGTTAGCAAATGAAAACTTATTTTAAAGTGTTATCGAAAATCTTTTGTATTATTATAATAACTAATTTAGTTGTAATGTAATGACTTCATTTTATTTATGACTTAATTTGACATATATGTGTCATATTATATATATATATGTGTGTAATATATATATATATATATAGCCTATATATAAATAAAATAACATTATATTATATATATTAAATAATATTAAAAGCCTTTAAGTTATTGAGATGGGTTGATCTCATTGTTTATTTTAAACTTTTTTTTAACCAATTATAAAGTTCTATTTTAAACTTTATTTAAAATGTAACTCCCGAAAACTTGTTTATTATAGATTATATAGAAAGAAAGAAAGATACAAGTATTTATAAGTAGATTAATGTTTTTAAATTGCTTCTATTAATCAGTCTGCCATTATTGTGTGTCCTCACTTACGTACCGCTTCTCTTCTCACAGCTCGATGGTTTCCAGAGACATTTCGACTCTCAGATCATCACGTATGGCAAACAAGTGATTCTGAACCTGGTACGTTCCCTGTATTTGCTCCGTTTACACTGAGGTGTCGCTTCCAGGCTGGAAATATCTCATTAAGATTTAATTTTATTCTCCAGATTAATCAGAAAGGCTCAGAAAAGCCGCTGGAACAGGCCTTTGCAAAGATGGTGGACAGTCTGGGCAACGGCATGGTCAAGTGAGTCGATAAGAAAATCTCATAAAGCACTGATACAGATCCATGAATGCCAAACTCAGACTGTGTTCATCTGCAGGTACATCGCGTTTGACTTTCACATGGAGTGCAGCCGTATGAGGTGGCATCGCCTGCAGATCCTGGTGGACACGGTGGCGGAAATGCAGGATGAGTTTGGGTACGAGGTGTTTGCATGCAAAAAGAGTTCGAATCTAATGCTCCTGAACATAATTTGAATGCTCTTATTTGTTTATTTTTTCAACAGCTACTTCCTGGTGGATTCAGACGGATCGGTCCAAAAGCAGCAGGACGGGACGTTCCGAAGCAATTGCATGGACTGTCTGGACCGAACCAACGTCATCCAGAGTCTGCTGGCCCGTCGCTCGCTGCAGTCACAGTTAGAGGTGTGTGTGATGATCTACTGATTATCCTCCATGGGACTGTCATTAGAACAGAATTCACATTGAATTAAGGGTGTGTGATGTCACGATTATTAGGGGTGGGAATCTCTAGGCACCTCACAGTTCGATTCGATTACGATTCAGAGGGCTGCAATTCGGTGCTAAAGCAATTATCTTGCACGCCCCAGACACTTCAGAGTTCCGCCTTTTGCGTCCCGTCAATATTATGTTATTATAAATATAAATATAAAAAAAAACAAAAAAATGTTTGTTTGTTTTTTTTTGTCGATTTTTGACATCAGATTCAGAATCGTCCACATCTGCAATCCCGATGCATCTAGGAATCGTTTTTTTCCCCCCACCCCTAACGATTATATATAACGGATATCCCCAAGTTATGGAACTGTTTTGGGAAGTTTTAGCTGTATTGCCCAGGCCTACCTATCAAAAGATGAGTCGTTATTTACGGTCCGTTTTGCCAGTAAACAAAGACTGTACGAAGACTGTTTAACCTTAAAACCGTATTCTGGACAAATGTGGGCAAAATAGTTTTGATTTATTTAAAAAAAATACTTCCCTTGATCTGAGCGGTACAAGACTTGACTACTTTTCCTAAGTTTGCCTCCTGAACACTAGTGGTGGCACGGTTCACAAAACCCACGGTTCGGTTTGTATCACGGTTTTAGGGTCACGGTTTTCGGTTCTGTACGGTTCTTGTTATTTTTTCTTTTAATCTTTAACACTCCAGAAATGTACTTCAGCATGTGATATATAGCTTAATTATCCACACTTTAGGATACAGTATTAAAAAATATATATTATATTCATGCAATCATGCACAAACTGAATTTGACTCTTTGACTTTAAGCACATTTTGGGACTATCTCAGAGGAAAGCTAGGTGAGATTTAAGCCTAGTTCACACTACGTGATTTTAAGCCCGATTTAAGCCCGATTTGCAAATCGTTGAGTCGCCGACAAGTCAGGGTGTTATCGCGTGCAAATCGCGGGCGATTAGCGGACGATTAACGCTCGCCAATCAGTTAGTGTGAAAGAGCCAACAACGCATCAAAGACAGCTCGCAGACAGCTCGCAGACAGGTCACCGAGCTCAGAAAAATATCTAGCATGCTAGATATCTCGCGCAGTCGCGCGACTCAATCTCAGTGATGTCATGAGTACAGCCAATCATAGCAACGCATGGGTTGAGGACACCAGGTAAATCTTACTTTTTCTTTTTTGCATTTTTTTTCTCAGAGCAGATCGTCGAGCAAACAGCGTGCAGCACTAGTTTCTGTCTGACGTCCATATTCGCGTGTTGTGTTCTTCTCTGCAGTTTCGCGTCATTTCTGGTTCGTTTTATTGCGTGGTTTTTCGTTACAAAACATGGTTTCTAGACCAGATAGAATCGTGTTGTTGTCAACTCGTTATTTGTTTGATTATTTTCAGGATTTAGACCGTATTATAGTACTGAAACAGCTCTCATTGAGTCACAAATGATATGCTCTTATCATCCGATCGTGGTTGTATCTCTATGTAGTGCGTTGTTAACTCGTGTAGTGAGTTACCTCCTGTTGTGGATCAATCACGTTGTGTTGTGTGGTGTGAACAGCTAAACAACTTGAACACTCATGATTTCACTGAGAGCAAGTCATGTAGTGTGAACTGCACAGTTCAGCCCGACATTTTAAAATCATGTAGTGTGAACTAGGCATTAGATACAGCAAGAGAGAAGAATTTGACATGCTTTTTGTTTATTTGGCAAAAATAGGAGAATGTGTATCACTATCTCTACAAGAACTTGTGCATTTTTATCACATAAATCTTATTTACACAAAGAAATTAACTTTCATGTATCAACTGCTAACTTTTGAAGCTCTTACCAAAATTATATCTTTTAAAAGAAAAAGAGAGGAACTCTTAAAACACTGTCTTTTAAATGTCAATATACATGAAACCTCATTGCCTATAGATAATTAAGCTATAGCAATAGCAAAGGCCATAAACATAAAGTGAAATTGAAATTCAACCTCAACACAAAAACAGTATCAACAATGCTTCTATTCCCAAAATGTGAGGGTACTTTTTTCCACTTAAAATTAAAGTGCAGGGTTTGGAAACGTATGACTGAAGCTCTTATCTATACATAAAGTGCCACTGTAGTTAAATTAAAATATCATAACATGAAATCCAAAATGTTCCCACACACCGGACTTATACCATAGACTTATACGACGCTGGCGCATCCTCCAACTCCCTCATCTCTCCCACTTGCCATTTCTCCGCGTGCCGTGACCTGCAGCGCTCCATACTCCACTTTTACTGGCTTGTTTATTAACTTGAACCGGCGCTGCACAGAGCGATCGGTAATGACATCAAATACCGCGAAAGTGATGAATGCATACGGAGCCGACTCGCGCTAGATTGATGTTATTCACCGATCGCTCTGTGCAGCGCCGGTCCAAGTCGAACAAGTTTATGTCGCGCGAAAAGAAAACACACGTCACATACGGGCACGAGGTTACATTGCGCATGCGTCGAACCGTGAGACGCACACGCGCTCCGAACCGAGACAAGCGAACCGAACGGTTCGGGTGTTTTTTCATGTACCGTGCCACCCCTACTGAACACACACAATTTTTTCTTGTATTTGGGTCAAAAATGGGCACCCATAGAAATGATTGGGAAAAACCGTAATTTAGAGCATTCTAAAATAAGCCAAAATAAGACACCAGGTGACAGCAAAGTCACTTCATCTTTAGGTTTTAGCTCTAAGAACTTATTGGAATGATATTTTAATGTAGTTTAAAAAAAAATAAAAAATTAAACAAAAATAAGCATAATTTACATAGAAAATATGGTACTTTTTGAAGTAAATAAATTCAAAAATAGCCCCAAAATAAAAAAAAAACACCATAAATGGATAGACAAAACTTTATCGAAGACATTGATATAACATTTATAAATAAATTAGGATCACACCTGAGTCCTCTGTGCAGGGGCGTCGCAACCGTGGGGGATGTGGGTGTTTTAACACCCACACTTTTCTCGGTGAGAGTGTTCAACACCCGCACTTTTTCTGCCGTTTTTCCGCAGTTTTACACAAACGCCTTCCTACAGTCGCTCCTCCGTTTCTCTGGCGCTCAGTGTGTGTGTGTGTGTGTGCGCTCGCTGCGGCTGTCTCCTCTCAAACATGACACCGGCTTTGAGTGTGTCCGGCTGATGATTGGCTGTTCTCCCTTAAGTCCCGCCTCTCTTGATGTGTTAGATGTATCGGTCAGCTCGTGCTGAGGAGGCGGGAACTTATGGTTGTTTACATCTCCCTTTTCCAGGTACTTTGAATGAGTGTTTATGCTTTCGAGGTTTTTAAATAAGCTTGATATGTGTTTGGGAAGATGTTATGTTTATGTTTTATTGACATGTCCAGTGTTTTCATTATTATATTTCGTATTTTTAGATAAACAGTACAAGACTTGCGTTAGGCATTCTGTTTGTAATGCTGCGTGATTTGAAAAAAAAAAAAAAAAAAACGCGCTCTTTGCTCACACGATCAGCATGGTGTTCTGTGTTTTCTCCTAAATAAAAGCTCAAGGGTTTATTTATTACAAGTGAAGAAATTAGGACAAAAGTATTGTAATTTTGATAGCGTAATATAGAATATAATGACAGACTCTATATCATAACTATAAAGATGTTTGAGCCCTCTTTAGGTAAGCAACAAGTCAATGCTTTTTCGTTGTTCAATGTGCAGCACAGGCCTGGGTCGAATCCAGTTGAAGCTCTTAATTTTGAGCTCTCAATGTGCTCCAAATTGATGCATTTAACCTTAAAATGTACCAAATTTTCTTGCGGGGGAGCATGCCTGTAAATGCTGCCGTGTTTTTTTTGTTGTATTTATTTTAAAAATACTTACTTTTATTTTGACATGAGTAAAACCGGAAGGAAGGTCTGTTGCACAGTGAGCTACAGACGAAGAAAACGCAGTGTGCGGCAGAGGAGGTTAACGCGCACATGTGTCGGTGATGGCATCTTCTAGTTTTTCTTTATTGTTGCTTAATTTTTCATGGTGTTTGCTGTAAATGTGTACAAGTTGAAGAATCATATTTTGACTATGAAGATTGCTTCTGGGGAATGACTCTGCCGTTGATTGAGAAGCAGGCTAAAGTGGTCAGTATTTTTCTGTATTCTTTAGCTTCAGTGCAAGCCATGTGATCCATGCAATTGATTGCAATGTTTTATGTTGTCTTTTGTTTGTTTATCTGAACTTTTAGTTCTACGGTGTTAATAAACATCTGTTAAGGAAACCGGAGTCTCGCATTCATTCAATGGGCGGCACAGTAGAACACTGCTGTTTCGGGAAAGGCTCCGAGCGGATGAAGACGGACTAGCTGCAGGCCACGTGCGGTAATGGAGAGGCCACGTGAACTGTTCGTGTGACTTCAAAGGGCAAGCAGACAAGGCTACACAAGCGAGCACGTAGACGAGAACTGTCTCGATAGTAGCGCAAGTACTGCCATAATTGCTCACGGACATTTAATGTGGGTTTTTTTTTTCTTAAAGTGGCATTGGACATTCCTTTTCCTGCAGTTGGTTATCTAATAAGAATCCAAGAAACTAAGTAGATAAGTAAATGTAACCTTCCCCAGTTGAATCTAAGATGGTTTAAGTTAATATCAAAGTATTTTGCATACAAGTGAGTTTTCATATGTAGACTTTGCCAAGAGGTATTTATTTTTACACTGTTAATTGCCTCTTTATTACTCGGTCATTGAAGTGTGTTATTATGAAACTGTAGTGTTTATTGTGCAGTTTTCAGAGGTAAAGTTAAGGTAATCAAAGAGATTTATATTTTATTTTTCAACATTTCATGCTATTTTATAGTTGCACACATTAGAGTTTAGAATACATTTATTCAAATTTTGACACATTTAAAGCTGTACATTCAATATGTCACGCTCAAAAGAATACACTTTTCCTCCAACTGAAAAGGTCAGTCATGGAGACC